GAAGTGGGGTGTCACAGGGGTCTGTTTTGGGACTGGGTCTGTTCAATATCTTCATCAACGATTTAGATATTGGTATAAAGTATACGCTTATTAAGTTTGCATATAATACAAAGCTGGGAGGTGTTGCAACTGCTTTAAGGGATAGGGTCATAATTCAAAATGATCTGGACAAACTGGAGAAATGATCTGAGGTAAATAGGATGAAGTTTAATAAGGACAAATGCAAAGTACTCCACTTAGGCAGGAGCCATCAGTTTCACACATACAGAATGGGAAGGGACTGTCTAGGAAGGAGTACTGCAGAAAGGTATCTACGGGTCATAGTGGACCACAAGATAAATATGAGCCAACAGTGTGATGCTGTTGCAAAAAAAGCAAACGTGATTCTGGGATGCATTAACAGGAGTGTTGTGAGCAAGTCACGAGATGAAGAGGTTACTCACCTTGATGTAGTAACGATGGTTCTTTGAGATGTGTCCCCGCGGGTGCTCCACTCAAGGTGTTGGGTCCATCCCGGCGCCACTAGTCGGAGATTTCCAGAGCCGTAGCCGGCCAGACCATGCATGCACGAGAGCAGCACGCGGCGTTCGCACTCTTTTCAACATCTGCGATCTGGCCCCCCCCCCGCCAGTTCCTCTCACCGCTTGGTCTCTGAAAGAGAAAACAAGTGAGGACCCTGAGCGGGGAGGAGGGTGGGACATGGAGCACCCACGGAGACACATCTTGAAGAACCATCATTACTATAACCTCTTCTTCTTCTTCTTCGAGTGGTCCTCATGTGTGCTCCACTCAAGGTGACTCCAAAGCAGTAACCCAGGACACGCTCCGAGTCAGTTATTCTCTACCACTGACAAAACTGCAGATGCTACTGCGGCATCCACAGCCCACGACCTCATTATGGCATTATGATGTGCGAAAGTTACACTAGAAGTCCAGGTGGCAGCGCGGCAAATATCGCTGAGGGGGACCCCCCTGGCAAATGCTGTGGAAATTGAGACTGCTAGTGTAGCATGTGCCCGAGGCACAGAAGGAAGGGGCTTACTGCGGATAGAATGATAAGTGGTAATACACAGTGTAATCAGTTTAACAATGCGTTGGGTGGAAAGCACATTACCCTTGGATCTCTGAGCCGTTGACACGAACAGTCTATCCATTCGCCACCATTGGCGGGTCCTGTCTATGTAAAAAGACAGTGTGCACCGCACATCCAGTGTGTGGAGTAAGGCATCCTTACTTGAGGAGAGAGGCTTAGGATAAAACGTTGTGACAATGACAGGCTCATTAATGTGAAACAGGGAGCAGACTTTGGGAATAAAGGCCGGGTGTAGTCATAATGTCACCGCACCTTCGGAAAAAGAGGTAAAGGGGGGTAGCCATCAATGCCCCCAGCTCACTGACTCTTTGTGCTGATGTAATTGCGAGTAGAA